TCTTTGGGATTTAGTTCAGTCTTCTCAGTCTGATATGAAGATGTCTGTTGCTATGTCGCTGTGTCAAAACACCACGGATTTTGTTGCTTATCGATTGAGTTTACATTAAAAAAATACGACGCCGTCCTTAGAGCATATGAACGGCACCTGCATATATATAGCATACATATATGGGTTAATAAATTGTTCGGCGGTTGTAGCGGTGCTTTGACTAATAATAAAAAATTTCTTGAAAGTATCTTTCTATACAACGATTTGATTTCGATCTTTCAGTTTTTATGAAATCTACAATATATCCAACAGTGGCCTGATATAGGTGGTTCCGACAAATGAACAACTTCTAAAAAGACGTATGCGAAATTTCAGGGTGATATCTCAAAAAATTATGGACTATTTTACATATATACAGAAAGACGGACATAGCTAAATCAACTCAGCCTGTCACGCTGATTATTTATATATATTAGGTCAAGTAAAAAGTTCGTTCGGTTTTTATCTAAGAGATGGGTCATACTATACGGCGCTGAAAACGTGTTTATTCGCGCTAAAAGTTTGTTTTTGACAGTTTTTCGATTGATTTACTCAGTTCGTTGTGAGCGCTCGTCAAAGTGGACACCAACAAAGAGAAAATTCGCTATATTTTACAATTTTTCTTCGATCAAAGCGAAAAAGCAGCCAAAGCGGCTGAAAACATTAATTTAGTTTATGGGCCCGATACTGTAAAAGAACGTGTAGCACAAAAGTGATTTGCTAGGTTCCGTTCCAGTAATTTCGATGTCAAAAATGCACCACGCGTCTGGAGGCCTGTCGTCGAAAATTGCGATAAAATCATGAAAATAGTGGAAACAGACCGTCACGTGAGCACTTATTTAATTGCTGAGGAACTAAAGATAAGCCAGAAAACCGTTTGGAACCATTTGCATAACCTTGGATTCAAAAAGGAGCTCGATGTTTGGGTGTCACACGAACTAACGCAAAAACCAAGATGGACCGAATTTCCATCTGCAAATCGCTGCAGAATCGCAACAAAATCGACCCGTTTCTGAAGCGGATTGTGACTGGCGATGAGAAATGGGTCACTTATGACAACATCGAGTGCAAACGGTCGTGGTCAAAGCTCGGGGAAGCGGCCCAGATGGTGGCCAAGACCTGATTGACGGCCAGGAAGGTTTTGCTGTGTGTTTGGTGGGATGGGCAAGGAATCATCTACTGCGACCTGCTCCCCTATGGCCAAACGGTCAATTCGGCCGTCTACTGCCAACAACTGGACCGCTTGAAGGCAGCACTCATCCAGAAGAGGCCATCTTTGATCAACAGAGGCCGAATTGTGATCCGCCAGGCCACACACGGCTTTGGTGACTCGCCAGAAGCTCCTGGAGCTCGGATGGGAGGTTCTAATACACCCACCTTATAGTCCGGACCTGGCACCAAGTGATTACCATCTTTCCCTGTCCATGGCGAACGCGCTTAATGGTGAGAAGTTGGCCTCAAGAGAGGCCTGTGAAAATTGGCTCTCCGAGTTTTTTGGCAATAGGGACTCAGTCTTCTACGAGAGGGGTATAATGAAGTTGACATCTCGTTGGCAACAAGTTTACGAACAAAACGGCGCATATTTGATTTAAATCGGACAAATGTACACAAAGTTATCATCTTTTGAAAAATCAATAAAAAACCGAACGAACTTTCTACTTTACCTAATATATAAATGATCACAGATCAAGCGATAACTTGAGAAAAAATTTAGTTATCTTAATGAAACTTGGTACTTGGTGAATACGAGTTCGTAGATGTGTGTAATCGGATCACAATCACGCCCACAACATGTCATTATTGAGAAAACATATAAAATGTGGATTGTGGAACCAAAGTCGTTCTGACCGACATTGTGTGTTTTCGATGAGTTTTCATTGACAGTTCACACATATATTTGTTTACATTTGTTATGTACCCTACAAGAACAGTGACGGTCATCTAATGGGTAATATGACAGTCATAGCTGAAAAAATTTTGTCAGCGCGCAGAACAAAGTTTCTATCATTTTTTTTAAATTTTCACTTGATGCCATCTCCTCCTCAAAATGCGCAATATCGAACTACAACCACCCCTACATCTCATATAACACATTTTATAACCATATGATTCTTTCACTTTCCAGTATACAAATCAGGAAGTAATGAATATAACAGAATAAACTTTGCACGAATAGTGCTCCTGTGCTATCATGTGACCGAAAATTATCCAAATCGAACTAAAGCTGTTCAAGCCTCTGGATACAGATTATGTGGACCTCAGTATCAGTCAATATGTAAGATATCTTAGCAAAATTATGTGATTAATGTTGGATATACTATAGTTCATCGTATGTTATTAGAAATACTATAGTTAAATGCCGAAAATATGTGAATTTAGTCTACGAACTACCCCAACTCCCAAATACTATATATAATATTGTATATTAATTTTTGTTGTTTTAAAAAACCTTATGGCGAACATTTCGTTTAATGAATGAGTTATTTGGTGTATGGTATTTATAAATATGCTTGAAAATATTATCTCAACTATACCACAGCAATGTCATAATTAACTCAAACAGCCGATACCTTTCTCTATCCCCAATATAGTCTGTATAACTATTTTCGACTTTCCACCTGACAGAGTGTGTTATACTTTATTATAATTTAATGAATTATTTTTTTTTAAATTAAAAAATTTAGCTTCCTTTTTTTGGTTTTTTTCCAAAATATCGCCTTATTTTAAGCTGTCACACTAGATGTGCCTATTAACAAGACAATTGTGTTCATGTGAGAATTTAACGCTTAACAGAAAGACGACCACAAGCGGCGGCCAACATCCTTCAAATTTTACAATACACACGTTCTTATGGGCACAGTTAGCACTTTCCAAATTTGCTGACGACAATAGGCAGCTTACTGTTGCCTCATATGTCAAATGAAAAGTCCAAAGCTCTAACAGGTTTAACGTTCATTTACCAACAAAGGCATAAAAAAACTCTGATATATCATTTGTATAAACAGGAAGCTGGGTTCAAGACGACATTTGGCGACAAAAAAATTTCGCTGTCGTACAGTCATCTCTGTGTTTAAAGTGGGTACCCAGTATTGTAAAGAGCTAAGAACTCTTTGTGTGTACCATAGTTAAGCTCACTCAGCTACTTTCCTATGCTTCTGACAGTCTGCCATTGTGTGCTTCTACCTTGAGATAATGGTATTATACTATACTACTGTACTATATTTCCAACTAAGTTAAACACTAGCATTAAGTTTTATTGACAACAAATCCAATCAGATTTTACAAGTATTTAAATAAATTGACTCTCAAAGATCGATTGAAGTGTTAAGATTTGTATCAAAATGTTTATTTAAATGCTATATATTTCCTTAGAAAATACAACAAAATTTATTTAAAATATTACTATCATAAAACCGAATAAGAATGACTGCGCGATCAACACTTCAGTGGTTAACTTTTTGGTCAAGTTCCTCTTCCACTGTCATTTTGTGGTTCACGAATATGGTGTTAGTCTGGCAAAACGTTAACTTCAGTTTCACCGAAGCTATAATACCCTTCACAAATACAAAGGCTCCTTACAAGAACTTAATTCCGAACGTTCAATTTGTATGGCAGCTATATGATATAATGATCTGATCTCACCAATTTCTGCGGAGAATAATTTGTTGCCTTAAGCGATAACTCGTGCCTAATTTCGTGAAGATACCTCGTCAAATGAAAGAGTTTCCATGCAAGCACTTTACTCCGACCGTTCAGTTATTATGGCAGCTATATGCTATAGTCATCCGATTTATACAATTTCTTCGGCGATTAGATTATGGCCTTAAGAAAAGAGTTTTCCATACAAACACTTGATTCCGATTGTTTAGTTTGTATGGCAGCTATATGCTATAGGTGTCCGATATCGGCCGTTCCGACAAATGAGCAGCTTCTTATCAAGGAAAGGACAGGCGCAGATCGATAGCTTAAAAACTGAGGGACTAGTTTGTATATATACAGACAGACGGACAGACAGACGAACAGACAGACAGACAGATGGACATGGCTAAATCAACTCAGCTCATCATGCTGATCATTTATGTATTGTATCTACATATCTTATAAGGTCTCCGACATTTCATTCTGGGGGTTACAAACTTCTTGACAAACTTAATATACCCTGTTCAGGGTATAAGAATGGTAGCATTATTTTGAACGAAACGAATTTGTACGAGTATAGATTTCTTTATATAGAAAAATTGGAGATTTCTCAAACATCTGTATTTAAATTTAATATATATCTACATATGTAGATACATATGTATGTCTACATATTGCTTCGTTTCAGCAAATCGCCAGATCACAACAATTTTAAGCAAAGTTGTCACGCCACCGATTCCTCTCAACCTGTCCCATAACGTATATTCTCTGTTGTGCCTTCTAACAGCGTCATCAATTGCATCTAACTCAAAGCAAATTTTAATTTATCCTCTAAAAATTTTACTGCGTGTTACTTAAATTTGTATAAATATACCTTAACAATTTAAAAACTATTAATGTGTTTTTGGTTTGTTTTTACTCCCCAAACATCGTCTTATTTTATGCTGTCACACTAGGTGTGCCTATTAAGAAGACAATTGTGTGCATGTGAGTCTACGTAATGAGAATTAACCTTTTTTAGAAATAGCTAAGAATTCTTTGTGTGTATCTATAATCGTTTAACTCACTTAGCTTCTTTCCTATGCTTCAGAGAGTCTGCCAATGAGTGGTTCTACATTAAGACACTGTTTTTTCTCTTCCACTTTGAACCGTCTACTATACGACAATTGTCAACAAATTCAACTATAATTTACATGCATTGACTCTCTATAATAGTTTGAGGAGTTAAGATTTGTACCAAAATGTTTATTCAAATGCTAAGTATTTATTTTGTTAAAATACAACAGAATTGATTTAAAGGAAATACTTTAATTAAAACAAATTGCGTTATTGAGCGATCACCACTACAAGGGTTAACTCTTCAGTAAATTTTGACTTCCTTTATGGCTCTCGTATATGGTATTAGTGTGGAAATTAAAAGTAATAGCATCATTTTGAACGAGATGAATTTGTATACATATATATAGAAAAATTCGGAGGAATCTTCAAAAATCTGTACATCTGTAACTGTTGACTCGATTCAGCAAATTGCCCGCCTAGGACAAATTTAAACAGATTCGTCACGCCAACGATTTCTCTCAACCTGTCCCATAACGTATATTCTTCCGTTAACTTCAAGCATATCGGTATTCGGTTTTATACCCATTTTATGTGGCATCGCATAGCGTAGTTTATCCCAAAATCTGTCATCTTGCCAATCCAGATATGTGTTCATGTCCAAATATGCCTTCAATTCCTTATCCAATAAACCACTGTTGATAATTTCACCATATTTAATCATAATTATGCGTGCACGACCTTCGTTCAACGAGCACTGATGCGCTGTGCGAAACTCCATGCGCGCCCATTCCGATTCGATGAAGTGCTGCGAGAGAACAATGATCGTACGACGCGACTGCTCAACCGATTCGATGATTTCTTTAGGTATATACGCGCCTGCCAACCAATTTCGTTCGTGCGTGCATATACGAAATGGTGGTTCGCATTGCTCGAGTTGTGGCAGTAAAATCTGGATGACGAAGTCAGCGTCTTGGTGTGCATAGGAGATGAACGCATCGAATCTTTTATTCTTATCCAGCTCACGCTCATGAATGCAACAAGTTAATATATTGTGGCTATATAAAATATGTGGCTTTCGCTTGCAAATTATATTTATAGAATAACGCGATGATGAGAAGTAAAATAATAATAAGTGACGCTGCAGAAGTGACAGCCACGGTCAGGTACTTATAATATTTAACGGTAATATCAGTTTGGCATAATTCGCTCACGCTCGCTGTTAGGAGGGTATCATTCCGTAGATTATCACATCGTAACTGCTCGACATCGGGTATGCGTTGCCGATGTGCGCGTATCGTGTAGAGCAGCTGTTGAGCAGCACAGTCGCAAAACCATGGATTTGCACTCAGATTCAGAAATTGTAGTTTCGTGCTCTTATTGAGAAAAGAACGCAAAAAATCAGTACTTAACGATTTTAAACGATTATTACGTAGATCCAGCACTGTCAAATTGGTTGGAAGTTCAAAGAGACTTATGTTGAAGATTTTATTGTTCGAAGCGTAGAGTTGTGAAACGTTTGCATAGCCGAATGTGATATTTGGCGGCAAACTCGTGAACTGATTGCTGCTAATATCGAGAATCGAAGTCGTGAGCCCAAGTTGCTCGGGACGTGGCAGCTCTTCGATAACGTCGAGTTCCCTGCCGTTGCATTTAATGGTCAGAAACTCAGATTGAGTGTGACAAACGCACTTTCTGGGACACAGTACAGGTTGCCAATCGCACAGCTCGTCCCGTCGAAGTTGTGTGATATTCGTAAGTTGTTTGGTTGACGTTTGATTACACTGCAAATCGCTAAAATGGTTGCGATAATTATCATTGAAAATCCATGCTAATGTACAATCACACTGCACAGGGTTCCCACTTATTTGAATTTCACCTTCGCAGTCTTCATTGGTATTCAATATATCTGATAAAACATGTATGTTTTTAATTAAATTATGACCTAAGTCTATTTTGAAAGGGCATGTAATGCCTAATGCGACTATCCGGTCCAGATTAAAGCTACTCAGAAGATTACGACTTAAATTTATTACTGTTAAATTATTTTTGTTGTCTTTGTACTCTTTAGGTTGCAATTTGCTTATATAATTCAGGCTTTCTGCTAAGTCCAAATTCATAATCATGTTATTAAATCGCAAATTTGTTAAAAATGTAGAGGAAGAATTGGCGTAATTTTCATTGGCGAAAATCGTTTGCAGTTTATTATCGCTTAGGTCTAGCCTATGTAGAAAATGCAGCGGTTTCAGAGCTTCTATAACATTTGTAGTAGCGTGTAATTCATTGCCTTTGAGTTTCAATTGCCATAGCAAAGGAGTTTTCGCGAAAAGTTCAGGCCTTAAATATGTCAATAAATTGTTACTCAGGTCCAGTATTATAAGTTGAGGCTGATTTGAGAATATATTTGATGGCAATTCCACGATTTCGTTGCGGCTCAAATTCAGAAAATTTAAATGCGAAAGTGCTGAAAAGATATTCGCGTCCAAGATTGTCATATTATTTCCCGATAAGTCAAGTTGCCTGAGTGCAGTAAGTTTTTGAAAATGAGCTTGCGTCAAGTTTCGCAGCGTTATGTGCTGTTTCGTTAGAGCTTTTACGCTAAGTGCAAGCGTTTGCAATTCGTAGTACATAGAAAATATTTCAGTTGGTACAGTTATAATGTCTAATGATGACTTTATAATTAATTCAAAGTGAAGTAGATAACGTTCACGATAAAACGCCTCAGGTGGTTTTATACCAAAGTCGGTGTCATAGATCATCATAGCTTTATCTCTACCCACAATAAACAAACTTTGCCGCACTTCGCTACTCATTAACTTTTCTATTTTAAAGTTATTGCAACTGAACAGTTCGATGTAAAGTATGTTACGAAGAATTGGCTGAAATTTTTGCTCGAGTAGATCATCAATATGTGCTGTTTCTCTATCACAAAACACCATCATTACTCGCGATCGCGAAATAATTTCTATTCTTATATTGTCATATTTACAATACATATTGCCATCACATCTGCAAGAAATTCCTTCACCTTTAGGGCAATCCGGAGGGAATACTGGTTCATCGTTAAACTCCGAATTGCAAGTGTGCGCCAACAGAAATTTGTTGCTTAAAATCAGTAAACTTGGCAGGCAGGCGAGTATTAAACACATATTTGATAAGTTAATTTAATTTTAAATTAATTTTTGCTGTTATTGTATTTATATTTTCTCCTCACCAAAGAAGTCTTGCTTACTAAAATGTAAATCACAAACTGAAGCAGAATAAACCATATACATCGTCATTTCATTTCTTATCAAAAATATTTTTGAAAACCGCAAATTCTGAAAGCACTCGTTGCAACAAACCTATAGGAATGATAAAATTAAACAAACGATAAAACACGGAATATTTTTTTGAGTAATCGAGAATATATCAATATTGTATTGTAAAAAAGTTGTGCTAAATTTCCCGTTACAATATAACTAAAATATTATCTCGCAACATGTTTTAAAAAGTATATGACAAAAAGAAATTCGTTATTTTTGCATTAATTTTATAGTTTTTTTCAGTATAGTTAAAATGATCAGACTTATGTTAAATATGGTTTGGTTCCGAAACTGTTAGCATTTTAAAGTTAATTTAATGATGCCACTCTCATAGAAACTCTTGGAAAAAAGCTGGAACAGGTAGTCATATGACAATGACCGTTTTCGCTTGACGTTGCCGTAAGTGATCCACTTTTCATCACCAGTATCCCTACGCTTTAGAAATGGATCGATTTAGTTGACTTTCACAAGCGATCCGAAGATGGAAATTCGGTACGTAAGGTATTATTCTTGCGTTAACTCGCTTGTTATCCAAACATCCAGTTTATTATTGCATCCAGCCTTATTTAAATGGTTTCAATCTTTATTTAAATTTATTTATTTATGAAAACCACAAGAATACAAAGCACAAGTCTTTATAATAGCGCTATTTTTTGTTGCTGTGAGTTTTGCACAAAATCACTTTTCTAGATTAAATTTACTCTCTCGTAGGGATGGTAATATTAAACAGAGAGAAAACAGTAATCGAATATTTATTTTTAGTAATCGTTCAATATCGCATTACAAAGAACTAAAGTTTGTTTGCATAGTTATACAATTCTTTACTTTTATAATTTTTCTGCTCTTGCTACATGTTGCTGCAGAGTATAATAATTTTGTTCACCTAACCGTTTTTTGTACGTATATCACCTAAAACTAATGTAATTTAATATAAGTAAATGATTAAGACAAAGAGACGGGTTGAAATCTGGGTGACTGTCTGCCGTGCAAGCTGTTACTTGAGTAAAAATTGATATATCTTGATGAAACTTGGTAGACATCTTTCCAATGAGAATATTGATATTGCAGATGGGCAAAATTAGAACAGGCGAAAATATATAACTAAGCTTCAAGCTAAGATAAAAAGCTGTAATGTAGGAATCGCAGTAGCGGGGGCACTTGTGTGTTTAAAATGCTTAAAAACGGGAGCTATATTAACAAAATACGCTCAAGTTAAACACTTTCCGCATCTTCTCCGATAGTGCGAAAATGAGTAAAATCAAATAATAATACCGACGACTCGCTATATAACGGTTATGTTTAAAACTACTGGCCAACTTTAGGCGAAATTTTATGTCTCAGGATCTACTTGACTGAATACAACCAAATTCGGTACTTAACCTTTTCCAGACAATATTATTTGACATTGTGAAAAAGTTCAAAATCTGAATATTTCGTATATAAAACAATTTTAAATCCCATCTATTTATTTCACTTTCCAGTATACATATCAAGCACCAATTAGTATCGCGGGATACTGTGCCAAAATAGTGACTTTAAGTTATACCACCTTTTGACAACAAATTGTTAAAATCGTACCATAACTTTCAATCCATTATGGCGGCCGTAGGACGAGGAGATGACTTTTTACCGAAAATATCGGTTAATCTGTGAGGACTAGTATTAAAATTTGAAAATAATAATTTTGTGATAACAGCGTGCCCTTTTGCCAAAATGGATAAAATCGGGTCAATACTTTCCTTAGCTCCCATATGCCTAAAATAAGGATTTTCGAACATCCTGTTAACTAAATATAGCATATATTGGTCAATCTTAATCTCAGACAACATAGAATTTTAATAACAGTGTATCTTTTTGTATAAAATAGATAATATTAGGATTTTCGCACCTCGGGTTGGATTCCAAATTTATTAATCAATCTGTGAGTTTTCTACATGAAACTCATATACCATATATATTGTAATGCCAAAAATGGATAAAATCGGGTCAATACTGCTTCTAGCCCTCATTAGATATATGGGTTCTCCAATTAACATTTCAAAGTTCCGATTGGTTTTATCGCATATGTCGGTCAATATGTAAGATATCATAGAAAAATTAATTGAACCTATTATACATTATTGGATATTGCATTGTTTGATCCCGAAAATGTGTGAGATTGTATGTATGCATGTACTTCAAATGAGGATTTTCGTTAGTCTAGCACTTACTTTATGCCATAATTCTAGGTCATTGTGTGAACTATCTTCACAAAATTGCGTGACAAATGTTCTTGAGTATACTTAAGCAACATCAAATGTTAATGCGATTAGTCCAGATCTTAATCTAGCCTCAATATGCATCGCCATGTAATGATTTCCATCCATTTTGACTGTCTATCTGACTTTAACGAGTTTATGTCGGCCCATATGTGTGATAATTTAATGAAATTACCATTGAATTATTTTTCTTAAAAATGGAATGGCTTAGCGATGAATATGAATGAAATTGATCTAGATTTTGGTCTTAAGCCCATATTCCCAATATAATGAACTCCGATGGTCAGTGGTTGTTTGTATAGCCATAGCCATGGGTAAAGAAGCAAGGCTTACTAATTCTGACAAAGACATAATTAGAATTTTAAAAGCAGGAAGTTATTCCAACCAATAAATTGTGATCAAAATGTGTAGAAGCGATTGAGTAATACGGAAGTTTTTGAAAAAAAGGCTCAAACTATGCCGCTAAGGCTCCAACTAGAGGAAATCCGAAGCTTACATTAGGTCAAAGGGGACAAATTCGTTACGAAGCCGCTCAGAATATGTTATGTTTTTCATAAATCAAGAACAAATTAGATCTCCCGTCACTTACCTCAACTGATTTTCGTTATTCTAACAACTCATATGCCAAACATGTCGTTCAATGTATTAGTTATATGGTACATAATATTTATAAAATTGCTTGAAAATATGATCTCTAGTATACCTCAGAAATATCCAAATTTACTTAATCAGCACATCCCTTGTATGTCCCCAATATAGTCTGTATAATAATTTTCTTAAAAATTGTGTGTGAATATGAATGAAATTGGTCTAGACATTGAAACAAAACCCTTATCCTTAAAATAATGAATTGTCATCTTCTGGTTGACGTTTTCACATTAACTCATTATATTAAATTTAGCTTCTTCAGATGAGTTTATGTCCCATATATCTCATTAAAAGATGATTTTATAACAATTTAGCTGACGGGGAATAAAATATTAATAAAACTAAGTGAGTCTATGACCTATAATATAACTTAATAAAATGAATGTTGAATTGTGTCGCAATATTTTTTAATATAAAGATTTCCTTACACCTGAAGGTATTATCCCTACCTTGATCCTTACAAGTTGCATGAGTTGTACTCGAATTTACTCCGTCTTTACTTGTTTCAAATAAATTAAAATGATTTTTAAGGAAACCATAAGTAGATACAACAGAAAATTTTAATTTAATGACATAAGTAAGGAAAAACAAAGTTCGGTTGTAAGCGAACATTTTAAAGGTATAAGCCAAATAATGTATAGGGGGTAGGCCAAGGTAACCCTCACATTGAGCAAATAACAAAAATCAATATATATACTTATATTATATGTGTGCTGTCGTAAGTCATTAACCGATTTCACTTGTATTTAAAAAAAAAAATACAAGAAATTCAAAATTATGCGTTCTTACATGATACCGGCTATATACGGTGGAAAGTCAATCGGAAGTTTGAAAATCCATATATAAATTTCAATATATGGGAGCTACCTACCTACCCGTATTGACCTGATTCTATCCGGTTTTGGTATCACGACT